TCCACCTATCTGCAGGGCTCTGCACCGGGGAAGGGAGAGGTCTGGGGGATCCTAGGCTGTTCTCGAAGTCCTCCAGCCCAGGGGCCAGCTCTCCCCTGCGGCCCTGGGTGGCTCAGAACGCCTCATGGGTACGCGTCAGGGGTAGGAAGCCTGACCAGGAGCTGCCTGGGAGCTGGAACAGAGGATGGGACGCTAAGCGTCTCTGAGTTACTCGGTCTCCAGGAGCCTCGGCTTTACAATCCGGGCAACTGACGAGAATCCAGGTCCCTTGGCCTCTGGCTCCAGAACAGTGGAGAGTGTCCACTGCCTGTCTTGAGCAAAACTCAGCTCCTGGTCCAGCTGGCTGCACCACCTCCCTCAGAGCCAAGTCAAAGCGCCCTTGGGCCCCCACCCCTGCCAGCCCACCCCTGCCAGGCTGGGAAGACTCCCTGCTCTCGGCAGCAGCACATGTGTCAGTTGTCACGCACAGAGGAGGGGGCCAGGCCTGGCTGGTGCCCAGGCTGTGGGGAAGAAGCTGACTCCAACCCCAGGAAAGGGGCCCTAAGCTGGGAGGTTCCCAGAGGGGCCCCAGGGCCTTGTATCATGACAGACACTGGCAGGCCAACAGGTGAGCCGGTGGGGGACCTGCCTAGGCACCCCCATCCTGCTGGGCTGAGCCAGGACTTCACTGCCCTGGGCATCCCTCTGCCCAGAAGGGTGATCAGGTTTGGCCAGGGCAGCCCAACAATCAGAGCCGAGGCAGGAGGCTTACCAGGAGGCATCGACGGCAAATGTACACTCAGACCAGGGACCAGCGCCACTTACTGAATGGCCGAATGAACCATTCATAACTCGTCGGGGTGATGTTCAGAGTCTGGCTCTGTTCAGGAGCTGTGCGGCCCTGGGAGAGCTGCAGCTCGTCAAACTCTGCGGCTTCATCTGAACAAGGACCACGCCTACCCGGCAGAGGCTCCAAACGGATGAAACGGGGCGTGGGAACTGCTCCACGCGGCAGGATGGGGCGGGGTGGGGCGGGGGGTCTTATCAAGGGCAGTCCTTGTTACTCACAAAAATCAAAGCATGCACATTAGAAAAAACTTGGAAACGTCTTAAAAGTATAAATAAAAGTCTGCAACCCAACTAAGCTGACCCTTAGCAACTGTTGAAAAGTAACACATTTTAATGCTATGAGGCTTTTTTCTTTTTAAAAAGGTAGAGAGACAAACACACAGAAAGCTCTCATCTGCAGGTTCACTCCTCGAATGCCCAGGAGCAGGCGACTCCACCCAGCTCTCCCAGGTGGGTGGCAGGGACCCAGGGACTTGAGCCATCGCCCGCTGTCTTCCAGGGTGTGTGTTAGCAAGAAGCTGGAATCAGGGGCACCTGAACCCAGGTGCTCTAACCCAGGTGCTCTAACCAGGCAGGCGGGTGTCCCCACCAATGCCTCCATGAGCAGTTAAAGTGTTCTGGTTTCTTCCACGCTTGTGGCCATTCATGCATTCTATGGGACTGTGACTATACATACATTTTATATCTTTTCATTTACCACGTATTTGCATTTTTACCTCTCATTTAAAAACCTTTAGGAACTATTCAAAAGAACACTTTTTTTTTTTTTTTTTGAACAGGCAGTTAGACAGTGAGAGAGACAGAGAGACAAGTCTTCCTTCCGTTGGTTCACCCCTCAAATGGCCGCTACGGCTGGCATGCTGCACCAATCCGAAGCCAGGAGCCAGGTGCTTCCTCCTGGTCTCCCATGTGGGTGCAGGGCCCAAGCACTTGGGCCATCCTCCACTGCACTCCTGGGCCACAGCAGAGAGCTGGACTGGAAGAGGAGCAACCGGGACAGAATCCGGCACCCCAACCGGGACTAGAACCCGGGGTGCCGGCACCACAGGCGGAGGATTAGTCTAGTGAGCCGCGGCGCCGGCCCAAAAGCACACTTGCTATCAGATACTAAGGTGTTCCACAAATGCATCACGCCAAGGCCTCACTGGGTCATTGCAGCCTCTCAGGCCACTTCGCTCGTTTCCGGTTTCCCACTACCAGGCCCCACACTAGGACACCCACTGTGCCGCAGCATCGCCCATCTCAGCTGCCTGCTCCGCAGCAGAGCTGTGGCCTGTGCTGGGGGCCTGGCACTCCAGAGCGTGAACACCATCCTGGGGCAGCCGGGCCACACCTGGGAGCCAGGGGAGGAGGCCCCACAGCCAGCAGACCCTGTTCTGTGCTCACCCCCCACACAGCACAGACAGGAACGAGAACTGCTCTCCTTCGGGGACTGCAGTGGGAAGAAGGCACCGAACACTGAGCGTGGGGTCCTTCTGGCCTGTCTGCTCAGAGTCTGGAAGGGCGGAGATGGCCCCCTGCCCAGAACACCTGGGGCCAGGTACGTGGACCTAAAACCACTGGTCTAAGGAGAGCCACCTAGGGAAGGGCTAGCAAAACGGGGTGGGGCTTCAGAGTCCCTGTGAGTGACAGGTTCGGGGGGGGGGGGTCGGTTGAGTCCCTGTGAGTGACAGGTTCTGGGTTGGGGGGCTCAGCTGAGTCCCTGTGAGTGACAGGTACTAGGTTGGGTGGGTTGGCTGAGTCCCTGTGAGTGACAGGTTCTGGGTTTGGGGGGGTTGGCTGAGTCCCTGTGGGTAACAGGTTCTGGGTTGGGGGTTGGCTGAGTTCCTGTGAGTGACAGGTTCTGGGTTGGGGGTTGGCTGAGTCCCTGTGAGTGACAGGTTCTGGGTGGGGGGTTGGCTGAGTCCCTGTGAGTGACAGGTTCTGGGTGGGGGGTTGGCTGAGTCCCTGTGAGTGACAGGTTCTGGGTGGGGGGTTGGCTGAGTCCCTGTGAGTGACAGGTTCTGGGTAGGGGGTTGGCTGAGTCCCTGAGTGACAGGTTCTGGGTTGGGGGATGCGGTCTTCCATGCACTGCTGACCGTGAATGGTACACGCAGTGCAAGCAGCCCGCCTCTGCCTGCAGCAGAGGTTTTGTGACAAGAGCCCTGCCTTCCCGAGGCCACACGGCCAGGTAGGTGGAGCTTAGGTGCTCTGATTGGCCTGAGCTTCCTCACCTTTCTTTTCCTCATTCCCCTTCCTAAGACATTACTCAACGTTTCCACCCCATAGCTCCCTGGCAAGCAGGTGCCAGGGCCTCGGAGCCTGGGCTGTGCCAGCCAGGGTCCCCTCTGTACACTCAGCACCTGGAAACCCAGTGCTACTCTCCCCTCCTTCCCCTCCCCCTCCTTCCCTCTGCTTCCCTGCAGGTTCCTCTGGGCCTTTGGAACAGGAAGGCAGAGGGGACAGGCAGCGACTACAGAGACGAAGCCCACCTGCAACAGCACAGCCGGAACCTTTACACAGCTCTCACAAACTCAGGCAGGAGCCCATGTGGCCCCAAATCTCAACACCACCCCTACCTTCCATCTCTCTCCCTAGCCCTTCTCCAGAGGCAGCTAGCCCTGTTCAGACACTCCCCACCCCCCAACCTGTGTCCCACCCAAAACACTGCATTGCCCTGCTCATGGGAAATCCTCCCTCCTCCAGGCTGCCCTCCAGAGCTGACCCACAGAAAGGTGGCCACGTGTCCCAGCCCCATGTGTCTGAACAGAAAACGCCCCTGGCTGTCAACCTGGCCGCTCACATGAAGCTTTGTCTCTGCACACCAACTTCAGGCCCGCGAGGTTTGGGCTGGGACCATCTGTGGCCCCTCTGGGGACCCCAAGAGTGAACAAGTCATTGCCAGCCAAAATGCCCAGATGTCCTGAGATACAGGGTCTCAGGCTCCTCCTGCCACCACCTAACTTTTTTTTTCTTTCCCTCTCTCTTGGCAACACTTGTTGTCATGGAGATTCTAACACAATGGGACAGGTAGGAGCCGGTTGCTTGGCAACGAGATGCTGGCAGTACAGGATTGGCTGCCAAGGACTAAAGGAGCGGAAAGGATGGTGAGGAAGGTGGGAAAGTAGAGAAACACCCTGGGGGCGCCAAAGGCTCTGGCGAGAAGCAGGAGACAGCCCCAGCCCAGAGTGAAGACGGCAAAACAGAGGCCAGAAGAAGGCGCGCCTCCCGGGGCCGGTGGCCGTTTGTGGATGTGTAGGCTGCCCTCGGCAAAGACAACAAAGCAAAACAAACACACATGGATCTGTTTTCATAGCTGTGTGTACACTGCAGGGGGTGGACAGACCTAGACAAAAAACAAGCTCCTGAACGTCAGGGTAGCCGAGTGGTGCCAGCAGACACCATGGTACGGTAGAGGCGGCAGGGACTCCACCCCGCCCTTCCTTGATGTGTGGCCCAATCGAGTGGCACCACCTCCTGGAGCCTCAGTGCTCTCACCTGTAGAATGGGAACAGCGGCATGTATCTCGCAAGGTGGCTGAAAGAACCGATGCGACGAAGTGCCAATCTGGGACACAGAGTGGCGTTCAGGAAGTGGCCCATGGCCCTGGCCTTGCCTGAAGCCCTATCAGTAGGGCCAGAATTGAAAGGCTGTGTGGCAGAGTGGAAAGATCCCAGGGACCTGGGGCCTCCATCCAGACCAGTGCACTTAGGTCTGCAAGATTAGGGCAAACCGTTAACCTCAGTCTCAGCCACTCATCTGTAATATGGGAATAATGACCAATGACTCCATAAATGAGGACCAATAACCACGCCCTGCTAGCTTCCAGGAGACTCTTACTCAAGTAGGTGGATAAAGAACCTAGCACCTAGCAGGTGCTCCCCTCCTAACTGCCTGCCTGGCCCACCCTTTGGAGAGGAGACTTGTGTAGGTCTGGGCTGGAGCCATGGCCCATCTTTCTCCAGGAAGGGCTCTGTGACTCCTGGGTGTCCTCCTAGGCACTCACGTACGTGACCCTGGAGAAGCCGGTGAAAGGGTGCAGGCATAGGGAAGACAGACAAAGCAAAGACACACCCTCCAGGCTGGCTTTCCAGTGAATTAACTTCACCGCAGCAATGACTGGAGTCCCAGAAGCACAGAGGCGGCAGGGGCGTGGCCTGACCGCAGATATGGGGGTAGGGGGAACAAGCCCTTCTGCGTGTTTCACAGGTAGGCGGCAGTTCCATGCTGGGGCTCTGCGAGGTCTGCTCCTGAATCAGGAGTCACCAGGTCACAGGAGAGATCTTCAAGGGGGTGGGACTGACCCAGTTTCCCAGGGCGAGTGGCGATGCCTCCCAGGAAACCAACTTCTCTTTCAGGGCCCGTCAGGTTCCGCAGGCTGCTTTTGATGTCCGGCCCACACCCTTCCTGCTGCTGTTTTCCAGTCCAGTCCTTCTGGGAGGCACTGAGCAGGTAACTGTGTCACCAGCTTCCCGGTTCACGCCGGGACTGGGGCGGCAGGCAGGCGAGCAGCGACTCACACAGACACGGCTGAGTACAGCTGTCTCGCTGTCTACACCGCTCCCCCAGCTCTCACCCGCCCCCGGTGCTCGAAATCCCTCTGTGGCTTTGAAGCCAACTTTTCCAATAATGCCAACAGGCACCAACAGAGGACGGCTGCCACCAGTGCTGGTGGCCTGAACCCGGCTGGCCAGGGTGGGGGCGGCTGGGAGTGGAGGCGAGTACGCCCAGGGGAAGCCAGAGAGAGGTGAGAAGGAGCCGCAGAGGCAGTGGGCTTCTAGCTTGGCTCCTTGCAAGCATCTCCTGCTTATGGCAGCTCACATGGGGGCTCAGGAGGCCTGGCCCTGTGGCCTAAGGCCGCTGATTTCGTAGTCAAAAGATGATCAGAACACAGGGTCCTTTGGGTCCAATGGTGTCCGACTCTTCTCCCGCACTGGGAAGAAACAGGAGGGAAAGAACTTACAGGTGCAGCCACAGGGATCTGGGGACAGCTGCAGGAAGTGGCCTTGCTGATGAGGGTGGGGGGCAGCCCTCCCACGTGCCCCTCTGCAAAGCCATTCTCTCTGATGTGGCAGTGGGGGCTGGAGTGGCAGATGCCCCTCTTAGGGGCTCTGGGCGCGGGCAGTTCCCCCCACCCCACCCCCGGAGCTGGAGCTGTGGCTGTGGGGGGTGGAGACGGGCCTGGCGGCAGGGGTGAGGGTGGGGGTGGTGCTCCCCTGCTTTAAGGAGCTTCAAGTTTCTCAATTTTAAGTGCTGGCTCTGCTCTTAGTCTGTTCCAGCTGCTGGGACAAAATCCCATACAGGGAGTGGCTTAGAAACAGCACAAAGACATTTCCCACGGTTCAGGAGAAACCCAAGTTCAAGGTGCCGCAAACCCCGGGTCTGGCTCGTTACACGGCTGCTTCCAGCTGTGTTCTCAAGGTAGGAGGGACACGGTGGTCCCTGGAGTCTGCTTCTCAAAGACACCAATCCTGTTCACGAAGGCCCTGCCCTAGGATCTGACCGCCCCCCAGAGGCCCCACCTCCCAAGACCATCACCCTGAGGCTAGGGGCTCAGTGCAGGAAGTGGGGGGCTCCACCTGCAGACCCTGACCGCTCCCCCTCCCCTAACAGCAGCCTGAAGACTCCTGAGGTTAAGTAACACCATTTTGGCTTAACCGGGTCTGTCTCTGGCCAGAAGCTGGGAGGAGCAGCCCCCTCCCTCGGCGGGGGGGGGGGGGGGGGGGGGGTCCTGAGAGCTGGGAAAAAGGAACAGAAAAGCAGGTTCCCTGCCAGCTTTCTTGGAGGCCCAGGGAGAGGAAGCCTCCCAGGAGCTGGCTCCGAAGAGGGAGACTCCGGGAGGGGAAGCCGGCAAGGGCTGGAGGCGGTGATCTCGGTAAAGCTGATCCGGAGGGCTTTGGGCGCAGGCCAGCCCTTTGCCCTTCCATTAGGACCGAGGGATCAGACACCTGGACGTCGTAAGTCTCACTCGTCCTGAATTTTCCCATCTGTCTCTGTCCTCCCTCACTTTTTTTTTTTTTAAGTTTCTATTTTGGAGTAATTTTAGATTTACAGAAAAGTTGCAGTGATGGCCCAGAATCCCCGCCCACCCTGCATCCTGCCTCTTCCAACGTTAAGGTTTCACATAACCACGTCCATTTGTCAAAACTAAGAACTCAACACGGCACCTGAGTGCTAACTAAGCTGCAGGCTGGACTGGGAGGGCCCAGGTTCGCCCACTGACGGCCTCTTTTTGCTCCAGGACACCCCACAGCATGCAGCTCCCCTTTTTAGAAGTTCAAGTTCTTTCTGAAAATTCTAGTCTGACTTCACCATGCTTCTGGGGAGAAGAGAAGGCATCTGGGGGACTGTCTGCCCTTGGCTCAGAGCAGGGTCACTCCAGCCAGCAGCCAGGGCATGGAGGCATGGAGCTGGCTGGGATGTGATGGGAGGGGAGGGGAGGAAGAGGAGGAGGGGAGGGGAGGGGAGGGGAGGGGAGGGGAGGGGAGGGGAGGGGAGGCTCACACAGTGTCCTCCTGCACTTGCACCTTTACAGTCTCTCTCTGGGAGCATTCCTTTGCTCCAGCCCTGGGGGCCCCTCCTGTACAAGGTCATCCAGGTCAAACTTCCAGAGCTGACTGTGCAGTCTCTGTCCAAGGGCCACCAGAATGAGGTGAGTAGGGTCCCAGGTGAGCAGCCCTGCTTAAGACCCTTCCCGGGGGCTGGTGCTGTGGCTCAGTGGGTAAAGCCGTCGCCTGTAGTGCAGGCATCCCATATGGGCACCAGTTCAAGTCCCGGCTGCTCCACTTCTGATCCAGCTCTCTGCTATGGCCTGGGAAAGCAGTGGAAGACGGCCCAAGTGCTTGGGCCCCTGTAGCCACATCACATGGGAGACCCGGAAGAAGGTCCTGGCTCCTCCCAGCTTTGGATCAGCACAGCTCCGGCTGTTGCAGCCATCTGGGGAGTGAACCAGCAGATGGAAGCCCCCACCCCCCCCCCCGGCCCCGCCTATGCCTCTCTGTGACTCTGCCTTTCAAATAAATAAATAAATCTTTTAAGGGGAAAAAAAAAAGACCCTTCCCTTATAGGGAGGTTAACCTGGCCGGGGCAGCCTGGCACCGTTCCTGCAACTTTGAAGCCAGCCCCTAATTTTGAGCAGTTAGCACTTTACAACAAACAGCAGGGAACAGGAGCTGATCGAGCCTGTCTCTCGCAGACTGTTTCCAAATAAAGTGTTGTTTTTCCCCCACAGACTCTCCACCGAGGGAGATGTTTACAGCGCTGAGAAACCACCAAGCAGCTCTCCTGGCCTGTGACACACACGCCCTTCCCCTCGCCATCCCTGTCCCTTAGCCCGGCCTGGGCTGAGGTGGGATCAGAGCAGGCGATGGGAAGCATGACCCCGGGTTTCCCTCCCAGCGACTCACTGCAAGACCCACACAAGAGCCACAGGGAAGCTCGGCATGGGCCCCAAGTCCTGGGCTTGCCTGGCTGCTGCCCGAGAACCCACCCACCACCCTGCACAGCCCTGGGTGTGCGAGGGACGCCTGAGAAATTCGCACCGTGTTCCGAGGCTCGAGGGTGCAGAGAACCGGAACTGAATCAGGGCAGGGGATGCTGGGCGGGGGGAGGGCCTTGCCGGACATTCAGGGACCAGGTCTCTCAGCCCAGAGTGACGTCACCCGGGTCCTGGCTCAGGGGCTCTGCAGGTGTCACGTCTTTAGGGAAGTCCCTGTTCAGTCACATGATGGGTTGGACATGAGAAAGCCACAAAGGCCCCTCACGTGATCCAGGGAGGCAGAGCCCTCAGCCTCCCAGAGGGCCTCCCAGGGGACGCTGCAGGGATCAGCCCCAGCCCAGCAGGGTGGGTGACTGCCCGGGCCAGGGAGCTGGCCCCATGCTCCTCGTGTGCTAAGTGGGGCCAACCCAAACCCTGGCCCCACGAGCAGCTCTGAACTCATGTTTCCTGAATGAAGGGCAGGCCCCTCGGACTCTCACGGCCCCACTGATGACATCACACCCCTCCCAGGGAAGCAGCTCCTTAGGGGGCTCTGAGACCCCCACGCGTCACCCTAGCCTATCCACACACCACGAGGTCCAGCCTGTCTGCAGCTCCTTGTTGTTCGTGCTGCAGACTGTGTGGCTCCCCAGCCACTGTGCATCCCTGGCTCATGTCCAAAGCCGCCTTCTAGAAGAGTGCACTTAACTTCGATGCCTGAGCCGTTCACTCCCAGCGCCTGGCACGGAGCAGCCGCTGAATGAATGACAGACACCTGGGCGCCTGCAGCTGGCCTCGCCTCGCCTCCCTTGTAGAGGTGGCTGCACCCGCAGTGTCCTTGCACTCTGCTCTCTGCAGGCCCTGGGAACGGCTCCGGGCGGAGAAGTCACGGCTCCCGGGGAGGGGCAGGCCTCACCTCACTGCATGGAGCCCGGGCTGCAAGCACGCTAGGGGAAGGGCACAGGGCACACAGCTGGCAGGGAAACAGACCAGGAAATTGTCCCGCTAAACAGGAAGTGTGTGAACGCAGCGGGCAGGCTTCCTGGGGAGTGGGAGGGAGGAAGTCAGCCTTCCCACGTGCTGGACACAGCACCCAGGTCCTCTGGCTCAGCCCTCAGCCCAGTGGAGCAGGATTCCCAGGCTGGGGGAGGGCTTTAACCAGAGGGCAGGGGTCTGTCAAGAGGTGATGTAACAGGCTGTGAGCCCTGACCAGGAAGCCCCAAGTCCAAACACCACAGAGCCCCGAGGAAGAAGGCCGGCTGCCCTTATATGAGGAGGAAGGAGAGATGGAAAGCGTAGGGGGGCCGGCGCTGTGGTATAGCGGGTAAAGCCACTGCCTGCAGTGCCGGCATCCCATATGGGCGCTGGTTCGAGTCCCGGCTGCTCCACTTCACATCCAGCTCTCTGCTATGGCCTGGGAAAGCAGTAGAAGATGGCCCAAGTGCTTGGGCCCCTGCACCCATGTGAGAGACCTGGAAGAAGCTCCTGGCTCCTGGCTTTAGATGGGCACAGCTCTGGCCACTGCAGCCATCTGAGGAGTGAACCAATGGATGGAAGACTTCTCTCTCTCTTTGCTCTGCCTCTGCCTCTCTGTAACTCTGCCTTTCAAATAAATAAAAATAAATCTTTAAAAAAATAAAGCAACCATGGGGAGGTGTTCTGCTGAGGCAGGTGTATGTGACTCCCAGGCAGTGCTGGTCTCTGGGCCCGGCGCTGTGGCGTAGCAGGCAAAGTCGCCGTCTGCAGCACAGATTTGTGTCCCAGCTGCTCCACTCCTGATCCAGCTCCCTGCTAATGCACTTGGGAAAGCAGCAGAGTCAAGGCTGGCTCAAGTCCTTGGGCCCCTGCACCCATGTGGGAGATGTGGAAGAAGCTCTTGGTTCCTAGCTTTGGCCTGGCCCAGCCTCGGCCATTGTGGCCATTTAGGGAGTGAACCAGCAGATGAAAGGTCTCTCTTGGGGCCAGTGCTGTGGCACAGTGGGTTAATCCTCTGCCTGCGGTGCCAGCATCCCACATGGGTGCCAGTTCTAGTCCTGGCTGCTTCACTTCCAATCCAGCTCTCTGCTATGGCCTGGGAAAGCAGTAGATGGCCCAGAAGCTTGGGCCCCTGCACCTGCGTGAAAGACCTGGAAAAAACTCCTGGCTGCTGGCTTCAGATGGGCTCAGCTCTGGCCATTGCAGCCATTTGGGGAGTGAATCAGCAGATGGAAGACCTCTCTCTCTGTCTCTCCCTCACTGTCTGTAACCCTACCTCTCAAATAAATAAATAAAATCTTTAAAAGGGGGGGAGGGCTCTCTCTCTAACTCTGCCTTTCAAATAAATAAAATAAAATCTTGGAAAAAAAAAGAAAAGAAATGCTGGTCTCTTGGGAGGTAGGGGCTGGGACGTCTGTGGGGCTGCTGAAGGCAGAACAGGGCCCCCCTCATCCCCCTCACGGATCCCCCTCCTCATTCTCACCTTGCGTCATGGTTCACGTTCTCAGCGATGATTTCCCTACCCAACCAGGTTACAGCTGTGCTGCCATTGCTTCACCCTTGTTAAAACCCACCCCACTTGTTCCGGATCTTGCCACTGGACCGGAAGCCCCTTGGGGGCAGGGGCCCTCTCTCCACGCCTAGTACAGCCTCGCCTCTGTAGCAGATGCTCAACAAACAGGGCTGAAGAGATGACCGCATCCGGTGCACTTCAGAACCACAGAACAGGGAGCCTCACAACCAGGCCCTCGGCCCGAGGGAACAACAGTATCACCCACAAACAACAAAAGACGGCCATGCGATTCTCTGGAAGTCTTGCCCACGTGCTGACCTTGTTTCTCCCACAGGGCCCTTCCCCAACAGTGGTCCAAAGCCCTGGGCTAACCTGAGCTACCCTCAGGATTGGGGTTGGGCACCCCCAAAGGAGGGAAGCGTCTCCATCATCAGGAACCTCCTGGACTGATGGGAGAGGGGTGGGGTGCCCCTGGCGATTTCCCAGAGTCCACAAGCGGTGCACAGGCTGGGGGGAGCGGGAACAGCAGGCAGCACTGTGGGACCCTCGCCCTCTGCCAGGTACTGCACCCAGCATCTCACGCAGAGCAGCTCACTGCTTTGCACAGAACCCCAGGATGCAGATCACGTTGCTGTCCTCATCTCATAGGTGAGAAAACTCAAACCAGGCCTTGCTTTAACCACACAACTAAGAAGTGGGCAGCTCTGGGCCCAGGGCCAGTGCCCTGCGCCTCTGGCCCGCAGCCTCTCTGGGTATGCGTGAGGCAGACAAGCGCTGGGAGATCATCACAGAGGGGCTTCACTATAGCTGGGTCCCCAGAGGAGAATGGGGGTGGGGTGCAGTGGGAGAGGCTGGGGAGAGGCAGCTCGGCTGCAGGGGACGTGGGGGTGCTGCCTGCAACTTGGCCAAGAGCGGTGGGATGGGACTTCTCGGCTGGGAGACAGAGGCCACGCTGGAGGGCCAGCCTCTCTTCCCGCCTCCAACCAGCTGTGACAGGGTGCACAGCTGCCCCAGCTGTCCCCGAGTCTGTCCCCACCTTGCCCCCAGGCTGATCAGACACTTGGCCTGCTCTGCAGAGGAGGGACCAGGTGACCCCCGGCACTGGGGAGAAGGCAAGGGAAGCCCTTGAAGGAAGGCTGGCGGTTGAATCAGAGAACGGGGAAGGCCAAGCCAGGAGAGCCTCCAAGGACTGGCGGTACGGCGAGAGCTTCAGCTGAACCGGAGGGGTCGGGTTCACTGGTTGGAGACCAACACAGCACTAGTCAAGGTCAGATGCCTGAAGATTTCATGCCCTGTGCCAGGGCTCACGGAAGCACCTGGACACTGAGTCCAAGTCAGTGAGCTTGCAGCAGGAGCAGACACCTGCTGAGGGTCTGAGATCACCTGGGTCATCCGTGCCAAGGGCTGGGGGCCTCAGCAGCCGGACTGCCTCAGGACCAGCCCAGCCAGCAGCCTTAAAGCTGTGCTTGGACACATCAGCCCTCAGACATGTTGTGGGTCCGATGGCCACTCCAGCGGGCCATCCAACCGTTGCCGTGCAGTGAGCCAAGGAGGCAGGAGGCAATGCTCAACCGCCTCACGTCCCTGCCCCTGGACTTCCTAATGGTGCTCAGCACCTTGCCCGGGACTCACACTGAGCGGGAGCACTGCTGCTCCCCTTCCCCGACCCACGCCCTTCCCCATAGAGAAGGTTCCGGTATCTCTGCTCAGTGTCCCCCTGGTCAGCCCTGAGCCTCTAATGCGCGTCTCCCAGTCCTGGGAGCAGAGCTGGGCAGTGCGCTGCCAGGGCTCGCAGCGGGTGTCTCCACACTTGTCCTCCTGGACTCCCTCCGGCCGGGCCCCTGCTGGTTTCAGCAGGTTCCCGTGCTGGACAGCTCCCAGATCCCAGGGTGGAGGTGGGGCACCCTTCCGTTCCCGCTGCTGCTTGGCCGGGGGCTCTGGCAGGCAAGGTTGGCTGAAGAAAAGGCCAGGTCCCGCCACTCCTTCCCACTCCCATCTCACAGAGACAGCGCACTTCCGATACTCGATTCTCACTTGAGGGATACACGCCCACCTGCCTGCCTGCAGCTCCTCCTCCCAGCTTGGTTTCGGGATCATTCAGCAAGGCCAGGCCTTGGCCCTGCTCCTTCCCACACTGGGCATGTGGGGCCTGCACCGTGAGGCTCCGTAGTGGGCTCTGCCAACAGCGTGGACTAAGCTGGCTTTGCCTCCGGCTGCTGGTCCCAGGAGTGCGTCAGCTCCATCGCATCACAGCCTCTACAAGCTGACCACTAACGCTCTCCCCTGTAGACCCCATGCAGCTTAGGAGCCTCCCACGGCCACCACCCTCCTCCCTTTCTCCTGGGTCACACGGAGAGCCCTGACCCTGCCTAGACCAGGAGGCCCAGAAGTAAACATGTGAGGCAGAGATGACCCTGCCCACGAGGTGCACTCCCCTAGCCTGGGCCCAGAAAGGTCTTCTGGGCCCCCGGTTTGAGGCTGGGATGCGCCACTCCCCTCCCACAGACTCCTCGGCTCCCAGCACCGCGTGGTGCACACACTCACACCTGCACTGCTGGTGGTCCCACTACCCTGGGCCCCCTGGGCCTGAAGTCAGAGTCAACACCTGCTCTTAATTCACCACCATCCCGGTGAGGCCCCCCATGGCCTCGGGCCATCCCTCTTCCCTGCAGCCGCAGCTGGAGCAGAGGCAGGAGAGACTTCCTGGACATTAGGGCTGGGAGGAGGCCGGCCCTCAGGCCACTGGGAAGCTCTGATCTGATGATGGTCAGGGGAGACACAGACGTTCTCAGACACAGGCTAAGCTGCCCCCACCCCTACCCATGGATGCTCAAACAACTGACCGCAAGTGAGATGCAGGCCCAGTGCACAAAAACCCGGGAAACTGCTGAGAGAGGAGGAATCAGAAGCGAAAGGGGCCGACAGAGCAAGGTCCCCGGCACTTGGAGCCACTCTGGGTGCTGGATCCTCTGACTCACCGGCGTCTCGCCACTGCCCCAGGGCCTGACTAATTGGAGGACAGGGCCAAAGAAAACAGGGTGGCTGTCGGGCTGGGAGGCAGAGCAGATGTCTTAATTTATGGGCCTGCATCAGTCCCCCAGGGGGAGGGGAAACTGGCGCTGGCCTGGAGTGGACGGAGGCCTGGGAAGGAGCAGCCCCACCTGCTGACAAGCTTGTGGGCTGACAGATGAGTGGGGCTTGCAGCTGGAGACAGGCTGGGGCTGGGAAAAGCATCAGTCAGCTCAGGACTCATAAAGCCAGAGACGGGCAGCTGTGACGGAACGCCTCTCTCCCCACCCCTACCCCAGTCTCCTGCCGGCAGCCCCAAATCTAGAAATTTCCACCTTCCAGATGGAATGACACTGCTCAGGGTCGGGGGCCACCTGAGGCAGGGCTTGGCAATGTCTCTGGGGGGAGGGGGGCCTGTGCAGGCTAAACAGTGTCCACAGAGGCCCCCAGCAACCATAGGAGGGGGTGGGATGTGGCTCAGAGGGGACAGCGTCCAGACTGACAAAAAGCAGCATTGAGGGTGGCAGGAGGGGGCCCCTCTCTGTCATTCACGCCCCGTCTGACGGGCAGAGCTCTGAGCTGGAGGGAGGGGCCTCCTGCCCCTTCTGCAATGTGCCTCCGCTGGCCTGGCCTGGCCTGCTGGGTACAGCTGATCATCTCATCTCACCATCTCTGTGCGTCTCCACCTTCGGGGCACAATCCTAAGACCACCTCTGCCGGGAGGCCTTCCAGGTCAGGCCGCCCATGCTGCAGTTCATGAGCCTGACTACCTCCCCCCGCCCCCCCAACTAACATCACATGGAACACGTGAGGTGCGGCCTACAGACCTCCACCTGGCAATCAGGAGACCCTGGCCGCAGTCCCAGTGCCACCCTCCCGGCTGTGCCACCTGAGGGAAATCACTGGCTACCCACAAGATGGGGGCTGGAGCTGGGAGCTCTCCAGACTCCAGCCCAGGCCTTGGGGGGCGGGGGGCGGGGCCGAGTTCTGCTTCTCTGGGATCCTGGGAGCTTCCTCAGGGCAGCGCCGTGTCCTACCCACAAACTCTGGATCAGGATGCATCCGCTATTGCTGGTTCTGCAGATTCACAGACAGCAAA